AAGATTTTGTAGCACTGGGAACCTGACAAAGTGTGAGACTTCTGGAAGTGTTCTCTGCCTGTTGTGTGTGACACTAGAGGGCATGAGCAAGACAACAAATGCCCTTGTCTGCCACCACTGAGAAGCTCCAGTGGAATAAAGGCCAACGAGCTTTTCTCAGACTATCCATAAAAGAGAAGAAAAGCAGACATGAGGGGTGTCCCCAGCTGGCAGGATGAGTGCCAGGCTGCCAAATCTCAGCAAGGCCAAAAGAACAGTTTTCTGAAGGCAATTCCAAAAGCTAATCCACCCCCAGCAAGAACAGAACATTTGTTTGCTTCACTGCTGTAACCCCACTAAGACTTTTTCATTTTCTCATGACATGTTTTGCTATGTCTGCATGGGAGGAAATGTGCTCCCCTGTGTGAGGCAAACACAGGCTGAGGACACACAGCACCCTCCCTTCAGGTGTCACTGAAATCTACAGAGGACAACAACTTCCCATCAACCCAACATGGATCAGGGTGGTCCTGTGGGTTAAAACATGCAGTTATCCCACTACCCAGCTCAGTCTGGGTACCAGGTATGGCAGCAGGGCTGTCCTCCAGGGGTGGGCAGCAAGCTATTATTGCACAGCAGGGTAGGGGAGGAAGAGTCAGGAAACCCACACTCTGTTCATGGCAAGTGCTTTGGTGTTCGTGGTGTTTGTTCACCTCAGTTCCCTGATGACTCCAGGAGAGCTCCAGCACGTTCATCTGCCCTCTCACTGGGGATTCCATAACTGGAGCAAATGTTGGCAAAATCCCGCAAGCCCTGTCACACACACACGATCTGACACACAGTCCAGGTCTGTCTGCAGGGCAGGATCTCAGAAACACAGAAGTGTTTGGGTTGGAAGGGACCTTAGAGATCATCTAGTACAATCCCTTGCCATGGGCAGGGACACCTTTCACTATCCCAGGTTGCTCCAAGTCCTGCCCAGCCTGGCCTTGGAAACTTCCAGGGATGGGGCAGTCACAGCTGCTCTGGACAACCAGTGCCTCACCATCCTCATGGGGAAGAATTTCTTCCAAAATACCCAGTTTAATCCTGAGCTGGGGTGCACGGAAGGAAGAACCCTGATTTACTTCTCTTCAGCTCTAGGACAAGCTGGAGATTTTTCTTTTTCAGGACAAGAAATTTGTACAGAGCACCTTCTCTGCTCGCTCTCCTTCTCCTTGCAGACAAACACCACTGGATTTTTGGCAGAGACTCCCATGGGAAGGGTGTAGCAGGCCTGAGCACCGGCATCTTTCCCACTTGTGCAGGAGTGGAAGGGGGGCTCCAGACTGGCAAAAGCTTTGCTGGCCCAAGGAGCTCTGTTCCCTCTCAGAAAACCAAAGAGTGCAACACCCCTCCAGTGTGAACACAGTGCCAACAGCTGGGATTCCTGCTCTGCAGGATATTCCCTGGCAAGGTCTCTGACTGGATCTATCCCTCACTGACCTGCGACTTTATGGTCCAAATGAGACCAGTGTATCTCCAGTCTTCCTCCTCAGCACAGCTAATGTCAGACCCTAATGCACAGATTCCCTGCCAAGAGGGTGGAAAACACAGGCCTGAGCTGAGCTTCCATTTGACAACAAATCCTGTCACGCCATCGGCCCTACTCAGATGGAGCCAGTTACAGGGGTAGGGAAGGAGCTGGAGCCCCCACACAAGAAGCTGTTGGCAGCTTTGAAAACAGAGCTGCTTTCCTCTGTCCTTTCAGATTTTCCAGGCCATGTCTCAGTCACAAAGGCATTGTGCAACCCCAACATTTTGCAACTGCTGCCTGACCTGGCCACAGAGCCAGGACTGCAGGCTTCACCCCGTCCCCCACGCTGGAGCAGCTCCAGCCTCCTCCCTGCCTGTGCTCCCGAGCCCATGCCAAGGCTGCCTGCACTCCCAGCATGATAAAGCTTGGCTTAAAGTTGAATCTCAAGCTTTGCAGGAATTGCTGATGCAATGGATGGGAAGGAGCACATGAACATCACAGAATCCCAGAATGGTTTGGGTTGGAAAAGCCCATCTGGTTCCACTCCCCTGCCATGGGAGTGGAACGCTTTCCATTAGATCAGACTGAAGACTCATCCAGCCTGGCCTTGAACACTTCAAGGATGAGACAGACACAGCTTCTCTGGGCCAACTTCCACTGTTTGGGGTGAGTCCATATCCTCTGATCACTCCAGACCCAAATTCATCCCTTAGGACACTGGTCTCACTCCTGGAGCACCATTACTGTGGTAAATCCAGAGTGACTTCTACAGAACACTCCAGACTTGCCTCCCCAACATCTACTCAAGCCCTGGCTAAACCTTGGCTAACCCCTGTCAGTGCAGTTATGGGAGAGCTGGAGATGAACCAATCCTGAACCAAATCTCAAAACTGAAGTCTAGGTCACGTCAAAGTCAAGGACAGCACAAAGCAAAACATCACATGAGCCTCAGCCACCCATATTTAAGCCCTGTGCCATGACAGCATTAAATCTCATTGTGCCACAGCACCAGAAGAATGTAGCTCAGACAAGATCACCACATCACTGTTCTGGGAAAGACTTTGCCCCATTTTGGTGTCAGGAACAGGCAGTGCCTTTGCAGGGATGGGTCAGGGAAGGTTGTGCCCTGCAGGGTGTTGCTGGATTAAAGCCTCTGCACAGATAAACACCTCTGAGTAAGAGGGAGAACTTAAAACTAATAACAACACTAAAACCTAAACAAACACTAAGGAGTTGAAGGCTTTGCTTTGGAATAAAAGATTAATAAACATATCGATTGAGTCAAGGGGCTGGGACAAAGGCTGACAGCCGTGTTTATTTTTTAGCATCTATCTGTGGACTTACCAGGCTTTTGCCCAAGCCAAATATTGTGTTAAGGAAGTTTATGAACTGACACATGAAGTGTGGTTGGGTCACCTCCAGCTCAGCCCACGGTTCTCGGAGCATGGTGCCACCAAAATATGTCTGCAGGAGTTACAACAGCTTAACACGTGGGCCTAAACTATCACTAGCAGAGGATGATGCAGCCAAGCAAGTGGCAGAGATTGAGGAGGAATTCAAGCAAAAGACTGGGTAAAGTGTAGGGCTGTTGGCAGACCCACAGGTGTTCCTGTCCCAGCTGCTGCTGAACACACCAAATTCTGGGAGAATTTAGGAAAAACCACAGCACTGCAGCAGCTCAGGCACTGCTGAGTAGTTCAGCTGTTGCCTCAGTTTTGGCATCTTGTGCCAGTACTTGGGGACCACAGTGGGCAAGGGGTGGGTCAATGCTTCTGCTGAGAGCTAAGTCTGAGCACAGAAAGGATCAAAAAGCCACCAGTGGGTTTGTGAAAAGAGCCCTTCAAGACCTAACACATCTTGCAAAGTTCCAGCCACTGTCAGTGATTAACCTGCTGCACCCACCACACCTCCCTGCTTCCAGATCCCGACATGAGGAACCAGAGGAACCTTCTGAAGCCTCTCTTCCCACTGCTTCCATGGTGTGCAAAGCCTCTGAACCACAGACATGCAAAAACTACATGGAAACCCCATCCCCCCAAAAGAAATAATCCTTGAGAGGTTTAACAGACTGACTGCAAGTAAATTCATGGGGTTTTTCTCACCCTGCCTCCTTGTTTGACCCTTCCCATGCAGCTCTGTCACCCCAGAACAGCTTCAGAGCAAAGGATCTGGCTCTCAGAGAAGCTGAACATCACACAGTCCCACAGCAGCAGGAGCTGGGGGCTTCACAGACAGGGGGCTTGGACGGGAATGATGGTTTAGAGTTTGTGGAGAAGCTGAGGCCCTTCTATTAAATCCCCATGTATTAAATAATACATGGCTGCAAGGATGGACACAGGAGAGGCAGGGACCAGGGTGCTACAGCAATAAACCCAGAGCTGTGTTTCGTATCTCTGTGGATTTGAAACACCGTTTTTAAAAGAAACCCAGTTCTTACAGAAGAGAGAGAAGCCCAGAAGCCTTAAGTGACCATTTTAAAGCTTTTAGCTATTTAATTGTGGCTTTCCACACTCTCATAAAGAAACCAGGGCTGCTGCCACAAGAAGCCTCTCCTCCCCAAAGTGCTGTCTGCATCCCTGATTTCTAGGAGATGCTGATAAAAGCATCTTGGAGAGACTTCTGAATATCCCAGAGTGAAGGAGGACATTCAGCCCTGCAGGTGACATGGTGGCAGTCACCCAAAGGTGTGACAGCCCTCCACAGAGCAAGCAGGTGGGCAGGGGGGCTTCTGAATCCCACTGAGAAGATGCTGCATTCCTGCTCTCCCAGAGAAGGCTCAAAGGGATCAATGGCTGCTTTGAACACCAGTTATATCTGCTCTACATCTTCACACAAAAACCAGCGTTAGACAGATCTCTGGTCACAGAGCTCTCCGTGTGTCCAAGCCTTGGGTTGGGCTCTGCATCATCCAGCAAAGCCTGGCAAGGTCTCCATGGGGGAAGAACCACCCAGCTCTCCTGGAAAACACTGAGGACTGTCCATCTAAACTGCTCCATCACCACTAGCTTCACATCTCTGCATTGCAAATACAAGAGAATGTTTTCAGATACCCTGAAGCTGTTCTGCTTCCAAACTTATGGCTGCACCCAGGGTCCCAATCCCATTTCTCCTCAGTAAATCCTCAGCACACTTCTGGACATGAAGCATCAGCTTCCTGCTCGCTTTAGGAACTCTTGAGACACGAACTGTAAATCTACACAAAATTACACGAAATAAAAGGGGTTCCCTTCAGTAACACTTTTTTGCTCTTTTTCTTACTCTTTGCTGTTTTTCCCTCCTCTCCAGCTCCCAGGTCTTTAAAATCCCACAGCACTAGAGGAAAAAGCCCCCAACAAGGCGAGCAGAAAATAAAAAAAAAGCAGGTGAGGAAAGGGGAAAAAAAAAAATAAAATAAAATAAGTCTTCTATGGCCCAGATGAGTTTAGCCCCTCTGCTAAGCACGGCAAAGCAGTGATCCCTAGTGGGATGGGGGGGACTGTCCCCAGAGCCTCCCGTGGGTACTCACTGGTGCTTGTGCTAGTGCCGATGGTGTTGATGGTGGTGGGGACGGAGGAGGAGGAGTAGAGGGGCAGGTGGCCGTTCTCACAGGCCAGGTTTTTGTCCTGCCAGCTGGAGGCACTGACGCTGATGCCGGAGTCCCGAGAGTTCTGCCACCCGTTGAGTTTGTCGTCAGAATTCTGTCTTTGGTGATAGTAGTGAGCCTGCCCGTAGTCCAGCGAGTCCGAGCGGCCCCGGCCCTGCCCGCTGAAGCCCCCCGACGTGCGGTCCTCCAGGTGGTTGAGCCACATGGCCAGGGCACTCCTGTCCTCCAGGGAGGTGGCAGGGTGGATCAAGGCGTAGGACAGCAGCTGCCTGCTCTCCTCGATGTGCTGGTTGTGCTCGATGGAGTGCGCCAGGATTTTGGGCAAGAGTTTCATGTACTCGACTTTCGCCTCGATGTTGCCGGGCTTCAGTAAAGGCAGGTGGGTTAACAAGAGGGAGATCACTTTATCCTTGGATTCCTGTTGCCACTGGTTAATGATTCCTGTTGAAGGAATAGGGAGGGGAAAAAAGAAGATAAATGAGAAATTGAGAAACAGAGCTAATAAAAGAAATAGCTGGGCCGTGGCACGGTAAATACAACGTGCCAAAGGGATTTCCACACGTGTGGTACCACAGCATCAGCATCTCCCTGGCAAGAGGGTCACCACCCTCCAAAACCATTGTCAGGGCAAAGTGTGCCAATGTGGACACCAAAAGTTACCAGATGCTCCTGAAAATCACTGAAAGAACCAAACTACACCCAACTCTACTCCACTGCTGTTGTGCTTATTTTAATCAAAAGCACAATTTGGCCCAAATTTTCCATATTGTTGCAGATTACAGAAAATTCTACACAAAAGCACTCATAGGATAAAGGTAACCTTTCAAAAGAACTTGGCTGGAAAATTAAAAAGGTCAAGATTCAAAGGAGATAACACAAGTGAGAGCCACAGAGGGAAGAAGGTTTCCAGCAGGAACACAGTCATCCAACCAGGGTGTTGGTGCATCCACCAGCCCCAAAGGTAAGGAGGGAAGGGCTCAGCTGAAGCAGCCTCAGAGCTCCTGTTCCTCTGTTAGATCACAGCAAATAGGAGAGATTTTAGAAGACCAGGAAAAAAAAAAAAAAGGGAACCTAGTTACATTTAAATATGCAGAAGGAAAAGTCAGGGAATAACAAACTGGTCACTTAACTCAAACTCCTGGAAAAACTGATGGAACAAATAATGAAACAACCTATTTGTAAGCACTTAGAAGATAACAAGATGATAAGTGACTGCTGACACCCATTTGTCAAGACCAATTTGATTTCCTTCTGCGACAGAGCAACTGGCCTGTGAATAGCTGGAGGAACAGGCAGTGCTGTATATCTTGATATTCATTAAGTGCTGCTGCACATGGCTCCCTCAGCAGCACAGCAGAGAGAAACTGCTCTAATGTGGGCACACGACTCATCTGAAAAACATATGGAGGGAGCTGGTGGTGCTGATTCATTGTCAGGAGGATGTGCTGGGCAAGGAGACCTGTCCTGGCCCTGACACTACCCAGCATGTCATTGGTGATAAGGGTGATGTGAAAAACGTGATCAGCACGCAAGTGTCCTGCTAAGAGAAAGGAGAACGCTCCAGGAAACTGGACTAGAGGTCAAACAATGCTGAGGACTCGAAGGGGTGGCATGAAGCTGTGTCAGGGGAGGTTTAGGCTGGAGATCAGGAAAAAGTTCTTCCCCCAGAGGGTGGTGGGGCACTGACCAGGCTCCCCAGGGAAGGGTCACAGCACCAGCCTGCCAGGGGTCCAGGAGAATTTGGACAATGCTCTGAAGCATGGGGTGGGATTGTTGGAGTGTGCAGGGCCAGGAGTTGGACTCAATGATCCTTGTGGGTCCCCTTCCAGCTCAGGATGTTCTGTGCTTCCATGAGACTTGGAGAGATGTGAAAGAACACCTGCACTAAGCAGGTGCAAACATCTGTATGCAGGTGGGAGCAAACAGCTGTGCAGCACGAGGTGGGCAAGAGCCTGGCTTGGGAAGCACCACATCAGCCAGACACTGTGCTGTGCAGAAAAGCTGCACCAGGCAGCCTGACACCTGGCTCAGAGGTGAACACAGGCATGGACAAGCTGCTCTCCACATCTGCTGCAGGGAAATGGTGGAGTCACCATCTCTGGAGGGATTTAACAGCTGTGAGGATGTGGCCTTGGCAGTGCAGAGCTCTATGATCTTGGAGGGCTTTTCCAACCTAAACAATTCTATGATTCTGTGACTTGAACTGCAGCAAAGATGAATGAGGCTGGACATGATGAAACTGCCTTCTATAGGACATTGTGAGATCTCCATCACCAGAGGTTTCTCTGAAGAGCTGATACAAACTCCAAACATCTACCAAATCTACCCAGACCAGCCAAATGACATTTCCCAGCCCCAGGGCAGTCTCTCCTCCAGTACTGACCAAACCCCTCTGTAAATCCTGAAAACTTTCAGCCCCTGTCTTAAGCTGTGCTACAGGAGCCAAAACTGAACTGCTGGGTGGAGAACACTCCCTCCTGCTTGCTTTAAACACACTGCTCGAAACTTCATCAGGTGAAATGCTGAAAAAAATCCCCCAAAACTTTACATTCTCTCCTCCTGCCTGCTGTCTTCAGTCCATTCTGTACAGGAAGCTGCTCTAAATCATTGATTACCCCCATAGCCTCTGTGTGTTTTTGAGCCAGGGTAACTGAACTCACACCACTGAAATGCAGATCCAGATCTGTAGGCTCATTCATCAGGTTTGCTCTTGGGGAGGCACAAGAGCAAATCAATATCCAGCTCAGGATATTCTGTGACCCAGAATTGGACTCTACGATCCTTGTGGGTCCCCTCCACCTCAGGATATTCCATGATTCTGTGTTTGTGTATGACCCATGCTGCTGGCCAGCAGCTAACCCAACCCTCCCATCACCCCTGACCCAGAAGAGGGATGTTGAAGCAGCACCTTCTCCCAATTAGGACCAAACTCTGGACATCAGTTTCCTGACACCACTGCAGCAGAGAGCAGCACTCACCCCTCCAGATCCACCTCCCCAGTTCCAAGGCATGCAACTGTTTTAATAGGAAGCCACTAGATGGCTTGCTGGAAACGCTGGTGACTCTCCCTGGAACTTTCTGCACTGGAATTCACTTCTCCACAGACCTCCACCTCCTCCAGAGCCACTTCCTGAGCCAGCGACAGCAAGGGACACGACGTGGCACAGCTTTGGTGGGGAAGGAACTGCTGTATTGCAGCAGAAGGGACTTGTGGTACTTTTTGGTGCCTGTGGGAATGATGTGAGGTTGTTTTGGTGCTAAAAAAAATGGGATTTGGGAGAGCAACACTCAGTAAAAGTGATGCTGTAAAGGATACATGAGTGTAGCAGGACTCAAGGCTCACCAGAGCATATCCATATTTTCCATATGCAGATGTCCCTGCTCCAGGCAAGGCTTCCTGTTGGGATGAATCTGATTTATCTGTCCCCTCTCTCTTAGTCAGCTGCCTGGTGAGTTGAAAACATGTCTTATTTTCTCCCATCCTCCTGCAGAGAGGGATGTCACACCCGGATATTTTATCATTGCTCTCATGGCGGTTCAGCAGCACTTTCAGGCTGGCACAGCCAAACCCCAGCCTGGCACCAGCTGGGATTCTGTAGCAGCTCAGATAAACTGAGAAATCAAAGATCATTAAAAAAAAAAAAGGCCTGCAATGCACTGCTAAAGAAGGAGCAAAACACACAGAGAAAAAGCAGAACCTGGTGTAAACTGGGTGCAGGAGGAAGAGGAGGAGGACAAGGAAGGAGGCAGGTGGCCGTGGCTGGACTCCTCCTCCTCACATGGGGGAGAACTGAGCATGAAGGCCCCCACTGGAGAAACACAGGATGGCACCAGAGCTGCTTCTTGGGAACTTTGCCTCGGACCTCCAAGAGTTTTGGGGGTTTAAAGCACAACCCCAAAAGATGAAGCACTGACCCAAACGCCTGCAGCTGATGAAGGGCTGGGTGCCCTTCCTGGCCCAGGCAGGAGCTGGTCTCCTTCTCAGCCAGCAGCAGGATGTGCACAATTAAACAAAAATGGAAAATAATTAGATGTGAAAGAGGTTTGGCTCTCTCTGAGATGGGGCGGAAGGTCAGGCTTAATCCTATCTGCCAGAAAATAGAGGGATCTGGAGAGGGCAGTGCAGCAGAGGGAAAGCTGGAGCTGCCTGTGGGCAGGGGGAGAGGGGCTGGCAACACCCCAAAACTCCTCTCTACCCTTTCCCTGAACACAGGAGCCCCCACTTCAGCCCCTCACCTGCTCCCATGCCCTCCTGGACATCTGGGATATCTCATCCTTTATCGCCAGAAGCAGCACTCTGGGGCAGCTGAGATTAGGATGTGTTTTGGGATCCCACACCCCAGGGATCACACAACACCTGTGGTGGGCTGCAGGCACTAATCACATGACAGCCTCATTAGTTCCCCTGGATGCTGCTGCCTGGTGCTTCCCATCACAAGGATTTCACTGCTCTGCGGAATGTCACAGCTACTGCCAGACCTGAGCATAGAGAGAGCCCCAGAGTTAGAACCCCCCACTTGCTGCCTTGAAATCCCCCAAAATCCCTGTCCTGCCCACTGCTGCCATTAAAGTGCCATCTCCTTTTGGAGATGAGGTAAGAACAACTGACCAGCCCAGCACTGGGAAGGGATGGGAGCTGCTGGCATCACTGAAGCAGAAAATCCCAGTTTTTATTATGGGACATTTTCTTGGATGAGAAGCTGAATGAAGGTGGGATGTGAAACTACCTTCTACTGAAGGATTACTTAACTGACAGGATTTTGCTGCTAGACAGCCCAGCTGATGCATGTGCAGCATGCCTGTGGATAAATCCAGCTCCAAATATAGCCGTGTCCTGCTTGCAAGACTGAAACCTGTGCTGGTGCTATGAATAGGACCAACACCATCCCCAAAACTGGGGCTTTCTGGCTTGAAAAAGAGGTGAAGTTTGTCAATTTATTAAGCTGTTGAGGGATTTCTCCATCACAAATCTGCTTAATCACTGCTGGATCCCTGCAAACTGTGAACTGCCACCATGTCCAGTGGTGATGGACCCACCTCTGACGCTGCAGTGTGTGAGGGACCTTCCTGCCTTTGCTCTGAACCTTCCTCCTGAGGGATGAAGGGGTGATTTCAGCCACCAGCCAGGCTCATGGTTGTGATGTCCTGGGAACAGTCACAGTTTTCCAAATGTAAAGCCAGACCAGATGGGCAAAGGCAGGGATAGACACAGTCCCTGCAGAGAACAACGTGAGTAGCACACTGGTGCCTGCATGTACAAACTCTGAAGGGCCAAACTGCAGGGGTTTTAATTCTAGCTCTGATTTTTGCAAACAGACCTAAACAGGTTCCAGTTTAAAAACACCACCCCTGCTGAGAGGGATGGCCAAGAGCAGCTGTCAGCACAGGTAATGAACGTGTGGGTCCCACCAGGTGACATGTCTTCAAGGAACAATGATAAT